CTTCTAATGTCTTCAGCTGAAAATAGTCAAGGAAGACAGGAGAGAAATTATTTGTAGCACTTCATGCTAAGGCCATCAAGTCCATAGTTGGGTCTGTAATTAATGCTGTTTGGAAACRGCTGCTAATACTGTATATTATGGTTTTGTCAAAGCTCACTCCTTACACATTAAGAAAATGAGAGGAATTTCTTGTTTCCTCAGCAAAACAGAAAATAAATATTAACTGCAATTTAGTGTTTAAAATCTATTAAAGGAAACTTTTAAAAAAGATGGGATATTGAAGTTTATTCTTAACTTCAAGAAGAGGAAAACATCAGTTTAAAAAGGTAATGTCGGTACAATTAATTTAATTAGAGGCAAATAAAGTGGTCATAATTTCTAAGATTTTTAGCAYGAACAAGATTAATGTACTCTATTTTTTTTCTGTTAAGACCCACGTTAACTTTTATTTTATTTATCCAACAGCATGTGATACTACAGATCTAGACCCATTATAATTTAAAATGCAGTTTCACATTGCTGAATAGTGAAAAAAATTGTTTACTTGCTCTTAAATTACTTTGGGAATTTCCATGTACATTAGAAAGAATTTCTGARGTTATTCGAGGTTCATCCAAATCATTAGACAATGAAACTGGAAATGATATGAAGACAATAAAGGAAAAGTGACTACTTCAATCGTTATAAAAGAATAGATTAATCAAARCTGCTTAAGAGTTATGTTATTCCTCTTCAAAAATCCTGCCAGACAAATGAGAAATCTTAATTATCATTGGATATATTATAGATGTACTTTGAAGATAGTGCCATATTTTCACATGACAGATGATTTTATCTATCCATTACTGTGGCAAATACAGATACTATCAGAAGAATCTGCACTAAAATGGGGAAAATGCATTCTAAGGTTTAGTCATTTATCAATCCATTATACACCTAAGAAAATGAAATAGCTTTCATTTTCTATTTTAATGACAGGTTAATTATTTTTAAAGCGTCTTGAAAAGGTATTGAAAAATCACAGATGTTCAAACTACTGTCCTTTTAGCAATGTAGGATTTTATCTTAAAATTTGGACTATTATTTTTTATAAAAACAATATTCTGTTCATTCCAAGCATATCSAAATGGATATGCAATCATTTCACACTATTCAAACAAAGCAATTTTATTAATAGATTTGAGCACTAACCTCATTTAAGTAAAGACTGACTGTAATCCTTTAGTGTTATCACTTTATATTTTATTAATTTCTTTTTAAAGACAACACTTTCCAAAACTATTAAGCACATAATTTCCCATCCATTGTGCCATATGCTTCTGAGTTAAAGGAGCTGTATACATAAAGCCGAAAATAAATTTGATTCTAATATTTTACAGATCTATTTTTTTTCCAAATCTCAGTAAAGAGTAAAAATGCTGTTACACAATTATTGCTTAGGGTGGTGATAAATGGGGCCGAGTCCAGTTGGAGGCCTATGGCCAGTGGTGTCCCCCAAGGGTCAGTACTGGGCCCGGTCCTCTTCAATTTCTTCATCAATGACCTGGACGAGGGCACGGAATGCACCCTGAGCAAGTTTGCGGATGACACCAAGCTGGGTGGAGTGGCCGACACTCCAGAGGGCTGTGCTGCCATCCAGAGGGACCTGGACAGGCTGGAGAGTTGGGCAGAGAGGAACCTCATGAGGTTCAACAAAGACAAGTGCAGGGTCCTGCACCTGGGGAGGAATAATCCCAGGCACCAGTACAGATTAGGGGTCGACCTGCTGGACACCTCCACGGAGAGGGACCTGGGAGTCCTGGTTGACACTAAGTTAACCATGAGTGAGCAGTGTGCCCTCGTGGCCAAGAAGGCCAATGGAATCCTGGCCTGCATCAGGAGGAGCGTTGCCAGCAGGTCAAGGGAGGTGATTCTGCCCCTCTACTCAGCTCTGGTGAGGCCGCACCTGGAGTACTGTGTGCAGTTCTGGGCACCCCAGTATAGGAGGGACGTGGAGCTTCTSGAGAGGGTCCAGAGAAGGGCAACCAGGATGATTAAGGGAATGGAACATCTCTCRTATGAAGAGAGGCTGAGTGAGCTGGGCCTGTTTTCTCTGGAGAAGAGACGGCTCAGAGGGGATATGATTAATATGTATAAGTTCAGGAAGGGAGAATGCAGGGAGGAAGGGGACAGGCTGTTCTCACTGGTGGCCAGCGAYAGGACGAGGGGTAATGGCCACAAGCTGAAACACAAGAAGTTCCGTCTCCAGGTGAGGAGCAACTTCTTTACTGTGAGGGTGACAGAGCAGTGGAACAGGCTGCCCAGGGAGGTTGTGGAGTCTCCTACTCTGGAGGTCTTCAAAACCCGCCTGGATGCCACCCTGTGCCACATGCTCTAGGTGTGCCTGCTTGAGCAGGAAGGTTGGACTAGATGATCTSTAGAGGTCCCTTCCAACCTTAAATAKTCTGTGAATCTGTGATTCTGTGATTCTTAGTAGAAATTAAGAAAGCTTAATAGACACTATGAATAAAAATGAATTCACTGAAACCAAAAGCTTAACTTACGGTAAGGGCAAAAAAATCGGTATGAAATGCCATGAGGACAGTCTATTGTACATTATGACAAAAAAACCATAACAGCACAAGTTTAATAGACTGAAACAAATTCAGTGAAATGTTTGTACATTGTCATAACTCTGTAGAAAAGCCTCTAGTGAAAGAGCCACTAGAACTGCAAATGTTGGTAGTGGAGGTGGTGGTTTGAACCGCTATTTGGAGTGATTCAAAAATTCGGCCATTTTAAACAAAATTTTTTCCAAGTAGAAATTGGAAGCCCTGCAGTGTAAAGACGTAATAGTTTCAGAAAAGAGTTACATAGATGATTATGAGGCAGTTTTATATTACAAAACAGGGATTACATTGGAGTGTCTGCTAAGCTAGGCTGTAATGATAACCCCRGTCAGCCTAAAAATTTCTGTGGGTTATGTCAGGATTGTATTATTTTTTCAGTTAACAGGAAATATTTTGCTATTGTTTCTTCTCAATGTCTTTGCAAATATTTCTCTATTGCTTAAAGCTACGTCATTTTCATCTCTGACCTAGGCATCCTCACAGTAAAAAACAAACAARCATAAGGGTAGATGGGTGTGAAAGGTTTCTCCACATCCAAAATGCACATCATTGCTGGCTTCAAACAGTAAACAGTGTAAATAAATAAAATTAAGCATTTGCATCAAGTCAAGCAAGTACATAAAATAGCTACTACTCGGGCTCTGAGCTTTTCATTTATAACTGGTAACTCAGGAAAACTAGGTAACCTTCGAGTTATCGTAGTCCGTACAGTTTATTTGTTCACACTGAGTCTTTTTTGATTTTACCCAAATACTGTTTAAGAGCGACTGAAACAGACTGACACCAGGAGTAGGGCTGCATAAACACACACACATTTGATCAAAAAGCTGAATTTGTTCTCACTGAAAGTTGAGATAAAGAAATAATTATCCATGAAAATTTCACAGAACAGAAGGTTATAAAAAATCTTAAATTTTGAAATATCAAAACAAATGTCATGGGTATAAACTGTAAGGAAAAAGAGGAAATAGAAACCTGCAGCGAATAGAAAACAGATGATTAGAAAATAATTGCCTTGTGTTTGAAGCAGAGAGACTTCATGTCAGGGATCTGAAAACATCTAAAGAAATATGACGTCCTGATCACACTGACAGCAATCTGATTTCCCAGGATATAAATGTTAAAAGGAACTCCCTCAGAGTTAGACAGGCTAGTGATGCAATTGTCAAGTTTAGTGCAGCACWTACTTGCTTTGTGCTTCTATATCAKCATTTCGCTTTCTTCCCATCAGCAACATCTTTGGAAAAAAAAATCACTATATAAAATGTTTACATGGAAAAGGTTATTTAGAACTGAATAAAAGATTTTAAAGATATTGGTGCTAACCATCTGCTTAGMACATCTTTCAGGTAGGACTTTTTTCCTTTTTTTTTTTTTTTTCTCCTCTCAGTGTAATCAAATACAATGTCAGAGCATAAAAACTAATTACTTTAGGTAACCTATTGCCTGCAAAGGCAGAAAAGCACGTGTCTGCCCAGAATCTATAATATATTTTATAGGCAGATAGAGTGAAGACCACCTTCTCAATTCAAAAACTCATTGCCAAATGTACCAAGACTACTCTAAAAAGTTAAAGTAGATTCTTACTATCTGACATGGATTTTTTTTTTTTGTTCCCTTTCTGGACACCATACAAGCATACAAGCAACAAGCAGCATAGCCAAAGCAACTGATAAGTTAGGAGACTACTGTCAACATTAGCTTATTGGCACAAGAGGAGGTTATGGCTTAGAGAGTAAACAGCGTTTAAAACCATCTACCAAATATCTAACCGCTATCCTCGGCATACAAGGTTCTCTAACTACAATCCAATCCAGATACTGCCTGATTTGACACAACAAGAATTGAGACACTGAAGTTTTCCAGGTCCTCAAAATTGAGTCCTAGGAGAGAGGTTGGTTGTCATGTCCCGCCTTCATGGCAGCTCTTCTCTCCCCGCCTGTCACTTGCTCTAAGTGGCACAGACGGAAAACAGCTTCCCCATAACTTGTCACTGCCTAAGACATCCTTCTCTCCATCATCCATTTCTAAAATAGCATATTATCTCTGTCTCTTCTGTCACTCACATTAAAGACAATTATTCTCCTTCTCTTTGTCACCCTGGTATACATATTTTTCTCTGTTAATGATTTCTGGGTATTGAATTTTACTCATGTTTCCAGATTTTATCCTCCCTTATTCCTTTGCGTTAGCTATTGATTGTACATTCATTTTCGATGCAATATTAATGCAAAACCACATCAAGGCACCCCTGGACTCTCCATACAATAGGCGCACGGAGCCTGGAGGAATTTCACATCTTAGGATAAGACACTCCGTGTTCGGCTTGAAAGACCACTAACTGCAAAGCAAGCTTTACAAATTTATTCCATATATTACTATTTGTCTTCACTGGCCTTCGTATAGAGGTCAGTGTGCAGGGTAACAGCCTAGAATGCGGAAACAAACCTTGATCCATTTAGGAACCAAATCCCTCTGCAAAAAGGGCCAAGGAAAAGGCTCAGAGAAAAACATGAAGCCCCTGTAAAATATAGGAAACATACATAGTAAAGATAGTAACTTTTTTTAACTGTGCAGTGTGCAATACTTACCCTAAACATAAATATTCTATTTACCTTTATCAGTGACCCATTACGGTAGCACTTCCAGGGGATGATCCTGAGGAGTCTTTGGGACCAAAGGAGTCCTGGGGAAAATGAATTCTCTATGTACTCCTTTTCAAATCTTAGTCTTTCCTAGGAAATTAATAATCCAGTCTACTGACAGTGTATTGAACGTCAGTCATATATAAATTCTCCAGAGATTTTCTCCTATTCAGGGCATGTTCTCCCTCCAACCTCCCAAAACACTTAGTCATTGCTGTTAATGACTTATTTTTAACACTTAAGAGTAAAAATACAATGGTATGAACTGCATTTTGGCTTGGATAAACGGTCACTAAAGGTGACAAGTTAGCACTGAATCCTGTCCCACTTCATTACCTGGTTTAGTTCAAGTCAGAAAAATATGAGACTATTTCCATGCAGCCAGGTTTGATATAACATTGACACCTCATTCTCATATTTTTTTCTGTAGAATATCGTTGGTTTAGAAATCCATGAACCTTAGATGGGTGGGGACATTTCTGTAACCTTCATGCATGCTATCGGCGGCTTTTTTAACGTATTATGTATTAGTTTTATAGCTACGAACATGCTGGTAATGGAAGAAAATCCTCCTGTTCCAGGAAGCTTCCATGGCTTTTAAATGTACAATTCATTTGCACAATCACAGTCTAGCTTGTTACAGAAGCAAAGAAATAAAAAGCGTTTCCAAATTAAATATTCTCTAATTCTCTATTCCAGTTGCACATTTTAATTATGAATCTAATGAACTATGTGACATCAGAATTCTTGCCTAATACCAAGAATTTGGATTTAATTAAAAATAAAATTATTCCAAGCAGATATGCTTAATGATTATAGTGCAATTAAAATATGCAATCAAGTTTGCGTAAAATACATAAYGTTAGGATATATTTATACAATGTTCTCTTTGTAACCCGCTATCATAAAACTGAGGAGCTCTCCTAACTTCACCACAGATGGATAAATTTTTCTCTAGCCACACGCTGCCATAGCATCTTGACTGATGATTCAGTGAGAAAAGCAGATTAGTTTGAATTTGTTAATAATTCATGGTAACAATCTCCTCCTTTTTTAATATTTCCATTAACATCTTACAGAATCCTCTTACTTTTGCCATTTTACCTTTAACATTTCTTGCATAATCTATTCAGAAACAAGTGTTTATTCAAAGTGGGGTGAATTTGCACCGTATGCAATGGAAGGTTTGCAGCATGACAGTGTGTGTGTGTGCACGTACGTGCAAAACATGTTATTGGCCTTGAGCAATTTAAAGAGTCTTTGCCTTAGCAAAACAAGGGCAAAATTAATTATAATGCAAATTTGTGTTTCTTCTACATATATTATTAGTGAGGAAGTAATTTATTTTATTTTTTTTTTTTATCACTGAATCATGAATTGGGGATTTTTCCACTCTTAAATTCTCGGCCAGAACAGAATTTTCTATAAAAATGCTGAGAATATCCTGAAAATGYGAGGGAGCTATCAAATAATAACATTTTAATGAATGAAAGCACGTTGGATTTTCAACCACATGCCCTAGAAACCCTAGCAGTRCAAATCAGCATCTCATCATTGGCTTCCCTTTGCATACAGAGCTCTTTGCACAATTCACAGCTCCCTGCAGGACAGTTAACACAGTCTTCAAAACACAGCCAGTATCCCCACCCCAGGGACAGTAAGGTTRATTTAGATGTAGACTCAGATACACCAACTAACCCTTAGTGAAATACTTAATGCATGTGCACATTTTTTTTAAATTCTCCTTCCTTGATATAAAATATCCCTATAACCAAATCTACATGCACCCCCTGTATGATGACCTAGACAGCAATGATAATTTTTGTGCAACATATCAGGGAGGGCTCTCACTTGCTTTCCAGACACATGCAGGGGATCAAACTAGATGCATACACTTTGCAACACTTCTTCATATCTCTGCATCTGTAATAAGAAAAAGTTAAGAATTTATGCATATTTTTAGAAAGCGTGCAGAAGAATTCTTATGAGAATCCTGAATCTCTTGTGTATGCAAAATGAGGAAAAAAATTGTTTCTCAGTAGTTCCACCAGAGAGGCAGGTAAATTGTTATATATACACACATATATTTAATATTCTTATATTTCTAAATTTTTATAAAAAGAGGAATTGCAGTTTGAGAAACTAGCAAAACTGATGACACTGTCATTCTCCACCAGCTTAAAAGACTTTTACAAAGAAAGAAGGAATTTCATAGTCAACAAAACATTAAGCTCAATGGAGTTAAAAAATTATTTAGGTTAAGTCACTGGATTGTGTATAAGTAGATTAAACATAGTCCAAAAATGTTGACTGTACTGCTGATATAGTTATTTAAATGTATCATAAGATGCACCTGTCATATGGCTCCTTATACTTTAAGAAAGGCATTTTCCAGAAGGGCTGTGTGCCTGAAGAGGGAAGATATARGGACTAGCTTTAACCAATTAATTCATAGCTATAATTATTCCTTAGAGAGTATAATGACTGGAAATAAATGAATGGTGTTTGCGGTATTATTGGAACAATTACTTTCTTGTAAATAGAACAAAATAATGCAGTAAGGTAACACATTTAAAAGGAAGAGGTAACCTGGGCTCTATAGGTTTAGTTTTGCACCAGGCATGGAATACAAAACAGTAATAACTTCTCTATCTGTGAAATGTAATTTTATTTATAGTTTGCAATATATAATCCACAATGAAATATGGTCTCTGTTTTTATTACTGACTTGGGTTATTCTGTATTGCCAAAACGCACAAGACCCTATAGACAAGAGCCTATAGAATTGCTAATAGCCTTATCAATATTTTGCCCACAACTAATCAAATCCATGTGGTATCAAGAAGGGGAGCACTAGCAGACAATTCAACTTAATTTTTTAAGTGATATAACAACACTGTTGAGCCAAGTACTTTGTTTTGATGAGGAAAGTCATTGCAGTTACGTTAGCAAACTACTCTGGGAAGCGTTTAATGTTAAGGGCAACCATTAAAGTTTCCTGCTGCCAGTGGCAGTGACTTGGAGGAGGCAGACGGGGGTATATGTATAGCAAACGTATACCAGAAAGGAGAGAGAAGAGGCACTTCCACAAATTCAAAGTGAAATAACAATTGGAGAACTCACTAAGCTAATAACACTCTAAATATAACTTACCAAACAAGGTTAATAGCAAGAAATCAGATCATAAATACAAGCTGATTAAAAAAAAAAAAAAAAATCAAATTAAATCCAGCAGTTAAAATTTAAAATTCCATTAGGAAAAATTAAATTCCWATATCTTAATATCAATTACGTGTCAAAAATGTCAATAAATTCCTAGTTCTTCTGTAAGGACAAACTTCTGAATTAGAAGGCACAGTTAAAATAATCTTCTTATTATGCTTTTTCCTACCTAGCATCAGTACATATAGCCACATATTGAGATAACGTACATTAAGGAAATCATACAAATGTGATTCAGAACTATGCACATGTGCTTAAATAGCTTATTAAATGCTTGCTCTTCAAAAGTATTGTGTAAATCTCAGACTTTATAAAACTCTCTAGGACTTTCAAAGGATGATTTTAAGAATATTCCAGKGATCATTTTCTTGAAAGCATTCCCAAGTTATGATTTTTTTATGCCTGTGTGAATAAAGTCTTTTTTTAAAAGTAAATTTAAGAAAATTGCTGTACTTACACCAGTCTTACTCTTCAACAACTTGTATTTACTCATTCTGGGCAAGTAAGAACTATAACTTCTTAGGAATTAAGAAAGCTCTTTAGATGCACAAGTTTTCTTTAACTTTAGCATTACTTAGTCCTTTCTTTTCTATCAAGAGGCACGGGAAATGTTTATTGTAAACTAAATTATTAATTTCTTAAATGACCATATTAAACGTCTCAGGAATATTCACAATCTACATTGACAAAATACATTGGGGGGGCTAAAGTGAAGTGACGCTGAACATTTATGTCTGTAACTCCTATTTAACAGCACAGATGAAAGCTGATTGCGTTCTGTATTATCCTACTTTTTGTATAATGCACAAAATAAGGTTGGTCAAACATGAAGAAAACAATTTTCTCCCATGAAAGATTTATAGTGAAAGCACATTGAAAAGATGAGAGATGAACACAACTATTATCACTATTTTAGGCATTAACTCGGTGGTTATAAATGAAAGAATACTTATGGGCTTAAAGTGTCTTGAGAAGGGCAGCGAAGAATGAATACTGCTAGTAGCACAATCTAGCTTTGGGAAAAAAACTTTTTCAGTTTCCCTTAATGAGTACGCAGCACGAAGTTCCAATTACTTGAATTATCATCCTTAAGTTTTTCCAGAAAATAATTAAAACTTTTCGCTGTCATCTACATAGGCCATCTTTCTACTCCATAGCGGGGTCAAAGTTTCATCTTCTGTAAATTTCCTTCAATACTGAAGATATTTCTGTGTTATACTATTTGATGACTGGCTCTCAGCACATATCCATAATGCAGCACATGATTTTGGCCGTTTCTCACTGTTGCAACTTAGTGCTTGCAAAATTTCCATTTTTAATTCAGTACAAAGGTCCTAATGTGTCTTTAAGCTGAATGGTTTTTGGATGTGGATGCACCAAAATTACCTTGTTTAAAAATGCTAGAGGGAGTTGCATGTGCCTTGGCCATTTTATATAAAAAGCTGCTGTTAGCCAACAAATCATTTCAGATTTATTAATTTCTTCCTCTTTTTTTTTTTTAGGAGTGTTAGGATGGTTGGCTGTTAGCAAAAAGAATCAGTCAAGTGAACTCTTTATCTATGTCTCTCCTCATTAAATTAATAAGAAAATGTAACTGTGACTCCCTCAGCRTTTCTTCTAATACACTCTTGGCATTATATAGTGGTTGAATAGAACATTTCACACTTGTAGTATGCTAATAGAATATATTACCTTTGTCTCCTTTCTAAAGAAACTAGTGGCAGGAGAATTAAAATAGGAGCAGCTTCCACTCACTATATCATCCATATCATTCTTACTGGTGATTAGTTTATTTATTAACCTTCCACTAACTTAATCTCATATTTTTAAAGTTTCTACAACCATTCTCTAATGATGTTAGGGGAAATCACAAAAATAGAATTTGTCCTATTTCTCTGCAAGCTTCAATAGGCTTAATTGAAAAATGAGACTGAACACATTTAAATTAATCTAGCTACACTAATGCAGCTTTAAAGAAGCTATACTATTTAAGCAAAGTGAGGATCTAGTCCCTATTATCTATTTTCAAACATCCTCATGTCATATCTTTAATTTTGTCATCATAAGAATGACGACAAACCTTTTGAAAAYAGCAGAAGAGGGAAGGTTAGGGCCACAACAATTCTTGGACTGTAAAACACGGTCCACACACAACCACAGAAACACGCCAAAATAATACATCAGTTGCTCAGTGTTTTCAGAGGATTTCAAAATACAGTAAGGTTTTAAATTAATGAATCAGTTAGTTAATTCTGAATTACAGTGGGAATCCCATTGATGTGCTTATCGTTTCCATATTAATACTAAATAAATTCACCATAATTAATGTGATTGCAGTACTTAACAAAGAATTTAATAATTTATTAAAAATGTAATTTAAAATACTAATTCAAACTTTAAAAAATCTAACAATAACATAAAATAGTGGTATCATGTATAAACAGACAGGGAAGCTGAAAGTTTAGAGATGACTACTCTCATTTGTGTTAGCTGTATGTTCTCAGAAAGTATTCTCTGGATGATACTAAATACCATCAACTCCAAAAAGAGTTCTACAGTTCAACAAACACAAGCTAATCAAGGTATGCTAACATCTTAGATTTCAGTGGTAAAACTCACTCCTACAAAAGTCCTGCAGAAAACTGGGTTCTAGGCTTGAAATTAAGATCTGAGAAATAACTTGAACATTACAGGACACATGAAATACTTCAATCTGAACAAATCACATATATATCAAAAAGTAACAAGTAGCAAGGACTTACAAAATCTTCATTCACTTCAAGGGAACAAGCTCTCTCCCCTCATCACAAGTATGGCTGAAAACAAAACAGCTAATACATCTTAATTGGACCAAATTTGTCTTTTTTTTTTTTTTTTTAGTAATCTCTTTTTCCCATTTTTTTTCCTCTAGAATCATATCATGGTCCATTTTCTCCCCAATATCTGCCCAGAAGCTCTGCTTTCAAACTTTACCTTTTCCTCTTCCAATAACTTCAATAATGTTGCTTTGTGCATATTTACACATCTTTAAACCCTATACATTACCTTTATACATCTATACAGCCTGTACAGTAGTGTACATTATATTAGCTGTTCATATATGGAGGAAGGTATTTTTTAGAGCAGTATGAGGCTGTAAGTGCCTCATGTAGGTCATATATTTGTTGTCCATCAACAACATGATTACATTTTATCTCAATTACATGCATCTTTTCTCAGGGGAAGAGAAAAAAACAAGTAGGTCGTTATTACCCATGTGATTAGTTTGCCTGCTTATTGTCACAAGAAAACTGATGCCTTTTTCTGATTTAATATGAGTGCTATAGAATATTTCAAGAGTGAAGGGTGATTTTTTCTTTTGCATGAGTATGAAAGCACCATAACTCACAGCATCACAAGTGCCCTCAAAATTTGTGAGTTAAGGCCAGTCATAAGAAAAAATGTAATCACTTTTTACTGGTGAAATATTCTATTTATTTTATGAGAAATAGGTTTTATTTCTCACCATTTCAAGAATAGCAGGCAGCTAATAAAGCACTCAGGAGAACCTTTTGTCCATACTTCCATCCTTCCATGTAGAGGCTAAAAGCATTGCTTGGGCTCTTTAAAKTAAACAGAATAGCTTAGAAGTCAATGTGGGAATACTGCTTCATTTAAATATCAAAATATTTTACTTCTCAGGTGTTAAAACAAATTGGGCT